CCTTTCTCAACTTCCCTGGAGTCCTGCTAAGTCCCTTGACCATACGCAGGTTTTGAAGTACAAATTAATTTTGCGAAACGAAATTGCCACCATAGAAAACAGTACTGAAAGAGAAGCAGAAAGGTTAAACAGCAATTTAATTTGTTTTGCAAAGTTATGTACTTACTGTTTTTCTGGTGGGCAGGGGGGGGAAAGCAATTGAATTATGCCACAGGGCACTTGCCTCGAGCAGACAAGGAAGGGGTGGAAGGAAGGAAGAAGGATAAAAGGAATATTTTATATCTGCCTTTACACATTTTTGCATGTCACACTGTCCTTTTATAAGGCAGGACAAAGCAAATAAGGAAAACCAGAAAAATAATAATATCAGGAGCTCTGAAAGTTTATGGGCAAATAAAGTTAAATTAAATTATTCCTGTTCTTAGTTTTTTCTTTTCTTTTAAAATTGCAAGGGGAGGCCAATTCATATGAGCAGCTGAATGCATTGAAAAATGTACATTATTCCAAAATGAAATACAAAACACTTTTTTAAAAAGAGAAAACTGTATTTTAATTAATTTATTAAATTTATTTATTTAATTTATATACCGCCCTATATCCACAGGTTTCAGGTTGGTTCACAGAATAAAATCAGAATATAAAACCACAAAATACATGATCAAAATGACCCTGGTATGTCCTACAGAGGAACTTACGATCTTCAAACAAAAACATCTTGGAGGTCCCAGGCCACAGAGAGATTAGGCTGGCCTCAATCAGAGCCAGGGCTTTTTCGGCTGTGGCTCCGATCTGGTGGAACGCTCTGCCACAAGAGACTAGGGCCCTGCGGGACTTGACATCTTTCCGCAGGGCCTGCAAGACAGAGCTGTTCCACCAAGTCTTTGGCCAGGGCACAGCCTGACTCCCTCCTTTGGCAATCTTCACAGAACTCTACCCAATGGTTGCCATCAATTTGATTTGAAGTAATTTTTTAATGAAATGATTTAAAAATGTTGTCTTATTTTATTGTTGTTAGCTGCCCTGATCCCGGCTTCGGCTGGGGAGGGTGGGATATAAGTAAAAATTTATTATTATTATTATTAAAATAAAAACAATCACCCAATAACTCCCCCCCCCACCACCACACATTTTAAAAGAGCAAAGGATGTCAATCAAATAAACCAAAGGCCTGGCTAAAAAGAAATTTTTTAAAACACATTTATAACCCACTTTTCCTCATAGGAACTTAAGGTGACATTTATAGTTCTCTCCACCCCCAACAACAATCCTGTGAGGTAGTTTAGACTGATATTCCTTTAACACAGGCCTGGACAACTTGAAATTATTCAGCTGAGGAAGCAGCCTCTGATTTACATTTGCGCTCTTCGAGCATGAGACTCTTCATCTCAGGGTTGTGGGTTTGAGCCCTAAAGGGTAAATGTAAAGGACCCCTGACAGTTAAGTCCAGTTGCGAACGACTCTGGGGTTGTGGCGCTCATCTTGCTTTACCGGCCAAGGAAGCCGACGTTGGTCTGTAGACAATTTTTCCAGGTCATGTGGCCAGCATGACTTAGCCACTTCTGGTGAAGCCAGAGCAGAGCACAGTAACACTGTTTACCTTCCCGCTGGAGTGGTACCTATTTATCTACTTGCACTTTGATGTGCTTTCAAACTGCTAGGCTGGCAGGAGCAGGGACCGAGCAACGGGAGCTCACCCCATCGCAGGGATTTGAACCCCCGACCTTCCAATTGGCAAGCCCAAGAGGCTCAGTGGTTTAGACCACAGCACCACCCGCGTCCCAGGTTGGAGCCCTACATTGGACAAAAGATTCCTGCATTGCAGGAGCTTAGACTAGATGGCACTGTGGTCTACACCACTGAGCCTATTGGGCTTGCTGATCAGAAGGTTGGTGGTTTGAATCCCCGCGACGGGGTGAGCTCCCGCTGCTTTGCCCCAACTCCTGCCAACCCAGCAGTTCAAAAGCACGCCAATGCAAGTAGATAAATAGGTACCCTTTGCGGCGGGAAGGTAAATGGCGTTTTCATGCACTCTGTTCTTTTTTTTTTTTAATAAAATATTTATTGGTTTTACAAAAAAATTCCAAAAGATGCAAAATTACCAAAATTCAACAAAGAAAAAACAACAATAACCATGAGAACAAACGAACAAAAATAACAGTATCCATAACAAAAAAAGAAACAAAAAAAATAAGAAAAAGAAACAGAAAAATTTAAAAATTATTATACTTTCATTTAGCCTTCTTATCTTTACCTAGTTCTTTGACTTCCCCGCATCTCCCCGCTTGTATTTCCATTTAAGAACTCCTTTCAGCAAATCCTTACCCTCCTTTCATTATCTTAACTCAAAAAACTTAATCTATTTATATATAAATATTTTTACAACCTTATCAATCAAATATTCCATACTCTTAATCACAAGGCTTTTGCCAATACCAGTTATTTTCAATCAGACTTCAATTTAACATTCATTAATTTTATAGTATTTCTGTAGATAGACTTTAAATTTCTTCCAATCTTCTTCCACCGACTCTTCTCCCTGGTCACGGATTCTGCCAGTCATCTCCGCCAGTTCCATATATTCGATTACCTTCATCTGCCATTCTTCCAGAGTGGGTAAATCTTGTGTCTTCCAATACTTTGCGATGAGTATCCTTGCTGCTGCTGTTGCATACATAAAGAAAGTTCTGTCTTTCTTTAGCACCAATTGGCCAACAATGCCCAAGAGAAAGGCCTCTGGTTTCTTTAGAAAGGTATACTTAAATACCTTTTTCAACTCATTATATATCCTTTCCCAGAAGGCCTTAATCTTTGGGCACGTCCACCAAAGGTGAAAGAATGTACCTTCAGTTTCCTTACATTTCCAACATTTATTATCGGGCAAATGGTAGATTTTTGCAAGCTTGACTGGGGTCATGTACCACCTGTACACCATTTTCATTATATTCTCTTTTAAAGCATTACATGCTGTAAACTTCGTACCTGTGGTCCATAACCGTTCCCAGTCAGCAAACATAATGTTATGTCCAATATCCTGTGCCCATTTAATCATAGCAGATTTTACCGTTTCATCCTGAGTATTCCATTTTAGCAGCAAGTTATACATTCTTGAAAGTGTTTTAGTTTTGGAATCTAGCAGTTCTGTTTCCAACTTTGATTTTTCCACCTGGAAGCCAATTTTTCTATCCAAATTATAGACCTCTCTTATTTGGTAATAATGCAACCAGTCTCGCACTCTATCTTTTAATTTTTCAAAACTCTGCAATTTGAATTTGTCTCCTTCTTGTTCCAAGATCTCCCAATATTTTGGCCACTTGGCCTCCATATTGGACTTTTTTAGGGCCTTTGCCTCCATTGGTGATAGCCACCTTGGGGTTTTGTTCTCCAATAAGTCTTTATATCTTATCCAGACATTGAACAATGCTTTCCTGACAATATGGTTTTTAAATATTTTGTGAGCTTTAACCTTGTCATACCACAAATATGCATGCCACCCAAACACATTATTGAAACCTTCTAAGTCCAAAACATCAGTATTTTCCAGAAGTAGCCAATCCTTCAACCAGCAGAAAGCTGCTGATTCATAATAAAGTTTAAAGTCTGGCAGGGCAAATCCCCTCTTTCTTTAGCATCAGTCAATATTTTAAATTTTATCCTGGGCCTCTTGCCCTGCCAGACAAACTTAGAAATATCTCTCTGCCACTTCTTAAAACAGTCCATTTTGTCTATTATTTGTATCGATTGAAACAAAAACAACATTCTTGGCAATACATTCATCTTGATGACAGCAATTCGCCCTAACAAGGAAAGCTTCAAATTTGTCCATATTTCTAAATCCTTTTTAATGTCCGACCAACATTTTTCATAATTGTCTTTAAATAAATTCCCATTTTTAGCTGTCATATGAATCCCCAGATATTTCACTTTTTTTACCACTGTTAAACCTGTCTCATTCTGAAACCTCTCTTTTTCAATCGGTGTTAAATTCTTCTCAAGTACTTTAGTTTTAAACTTATTCAGCTTAAAACCTGCCACCTGACCAAACTCTTGAATCAGTTCTAATGCTCTTTTCGTACTAGATTCTGGCTCCTGTAATGTCAGTACAAGGTCATCTGCAAATGCTTTCAGTTTATATTGTTTCGCTCCGACCGTTATGCCCTTAATCAGATGGTCCCTTCTTATCATATTTAACAAAACCTCCAGAACAGAAATAAAAAGTAATGGGGAAATTGGGCAGCCTTGTCGTGTCCCTTTCTCTATCTTAATTTCCTCTGTTATCACATTATTAACTATTAATTTAGCTTTTTGTTCTGAATAAATTGCATTTATACCATTTTCAAACTCTTGGCCTACCCCCATCCCCTGAAGATTTTTTTCATAAAACTCCAAGAAATATTGTCAAAGGCTTTCTCTGCATCCACAAAAATCAAAACTGCTTTAGTATTGATCTCCTCTTGCAGCTTCTCCAGAATATCAATTATGTTCCTTGTGTTGTCCGAAAGATGTCTATCTGGAAGAAAGCCAGCTTGGTCCTTGTGAATCACTCCTTTTAGCACTTTTTAAGCCTTTTTGCTAAAATGTCAGCAAAAATTTTGTAATCCACATTTAACAGGGATATGGGCCGGTAGTTCTTAAGCTGTGTCTTTTCAGTCTCAGCCTTTGGTATAAGTGTAATAAATGCGTCTTTCCACGACTCTGGCGCTCTTTTCCCCTCTAAAATTTCATTACAAACCTCAGTTAAAGGTCGAATTAACCAGTCTTTCAAAGTTCTGTAATATTTTGAGGTTAAACCATCCGGTCCTGGAGATTTTCCCAACTGCATATTCTGAATGGCACCTTCAACCTCCTGTTCTGTAATTTTATAGTTCAACAATATCTTGTTATCCTGAGAAATTTTTTGTAATCCATTGGTTTTCAAAAATTGCTCTATCTCAAATTCTTTCTGAGGCCCTTGTGTGTATAGTCGTTTAAAATATCTCTGGAAGCATTTCCTAATTTCTTCTGGATTCTGGATATTTTTCCCTTCCACTTCCAAATTAGTAATAGTATTAAGTTTTTGTCGTTTCTTCAACTGCCAGGCCAGCAGTTTCCCACATTTATTTGCCGATTCAAAAGTCTTTTGTCTCATTTGCTTAATTTTCCATTCCACTTCTTGATTTATCAATTTCATATATTGCACTTGGTACAATTTTATTTCCCTCAGAATCTCTTGTGAATTGGGCTTCACTCTCAATTTCTTCTCGCCCTCCTTTATTTTTTCCAAAAATTTTTCTTTCTTTACGTTTTGGGCCTTCTTCTTAATTGAATTCTGTTGAATCAGGAAGCCCCTCATAACAGCTTTGCTTGCATCCCAGATTACTCTTTTTTCTACAGTTGTATTCAAGTTTATCTCAAAATAGTCCCTCAATGTCTTTTGGGCCTTCTTGATCACCTCTTGATCTCTAAACAAGGTGTCATTCATCCTCCATCGGAAGGAACCAATAGATGTTAACTTCATCTCCATTCTCACGGCGTTATGGTCGGAGCATGTTTTTGGGCAGATCTCTACCTTCTTAACCTTGGGTGCCAGTCCTCTAGTAGTCCAGATTTGGTCAATTCTTGTCCATGTCTTTTGGGCTTCAGAAAAAAAAGTTCCTTCTCTATCAAGGGGTTCTTAGTTCTCCAAATGTCAATCAAATCCATATTGTCAGTTAGTTCAAAGAATGTTTTCGGTAGTCTACCATCTTTAGTAACTACCTCTCTTTGTGACTTGTCCATATTTGTAGAAACCACCCCATTCATATCTCCCATGAAAACAGTATTATAGTCCATATAGTCCATCAAGGTCTCATGCAACTTTTTGTAGAATATAGATTTCCCCTCATTTGGTGCATAAACACCTACTATCAAAAATTTTTCTCCTTGTACTTGAATTTCAATTGCTATGAACCTTCCTTGTTCATCCTTAAAGACAAATTTTGGTGAGAGGCTCTCCTTTGCGTAAATTACCACTCCTCGTTTTTTAACTTTGTCTGATGAAATAAATTCTTGGCCCAGTCTCTTATTAATCAATATTTTCCTATGAAGCCTCATCACATGAGTTTCCTGTAAGCAAATTAAGTCCAATTGTTCTTTTTTAAGTATATGAAATATTTTCCTTCTTTTTTCCGGAGAATTCAGGCCACAAACATTCCAAGTTAAAAGTTGCAGAGCCATGATGATTTCTTTATTTCCCTCCAACTGCTCCCAATAACTCTTCTTCCTCTGTTGGTGGTTTCGGCTTCTCTGTCTTATCCTCTCCCAACGGTGGTAATGTAGGATCTGATCCTGTTAAAGGGGCTTCTGGCTCCAATCCTTTTTGTAGGTCCTCTTGGTAGTCTCTCAAAAAGTTCTGTTTCTCCTCCACAGATTTTATTTTAATTTTTTTGCCTTTAAAACTGAAAGATAGGCCTTGAGGGAACTCCCACCTGAAAAAAATTCTGTTTCCTCTCAGCAACGTCACCAGGTCCCGATAGTTAGACCTAAGCTCCAAAAGAAGCTTTGGAATGTCTTTAAATATTTCTATCCTTGAGTCTTGTATTGTCAGTGTATTTTGATAATGTAAGCTCAGAATTTTATCTCGTTTTCATGCACTCTGGTTTCCATCACAGTGTCCGTTGCACCAGAAGCGGTTTAGTCATGCTGGCCACATGACCCAGAAAACTGTCTGTGGACAAACATCAGCTTCCTCGGCCTGATAGTGAGATGAGCGCCACAACCCCATAGACTCATTACACATGCTAAAACTATTTTTGGTCATCTGCATACTATCCCTTGCTTTTTCCTGTAGGACTAATTGCAGCCGTTAATAGTCGTCAACAGGTTTACCATTCCCATTGCGTCAATCACCCATCTCCTAATACCCTTCTGAGAAATACCCCACCCTACCCTCCCACTAGGGATACGGGTGGCGCTGTGGGTTAAACCACAGAGCCTAGGACTTGCCGTCCAGAAGGTCAGTGGTTCAAATCCCCTCGATGGGGTGAGTTCCCGCTGCTCGGTCCCAGCTCCTGCCAACCTAGCAGTTCGAAAGCACATCAAGTGCAAGTAGATAAATAGGTACCGCTCCGGCGGGAAGGTAAACGGTGTTTCCGTGCACTGCTCTGGTTCGCCAGAAGCGGCTTAGTCATGCTGGCCACATGACCCGGAAGCTGTACGCCGGCTCCCTCAGCCAATAAAGTGAGATGAGTGCCGCAACCCCAGAGTCGGCCACGACTGGACCTAATGGTCAGGGGTCCCTTTACCTTTACCCTCCCACTATATGTAAGGGTCTGGTGGCTTCTGTTCAGTGTATCTGAAGAAGTGTGCATGCACCCGAAAGCCAGAACCCAGAACTAACTTAGTTAGTCTCTAAGGTGCTACTGGTACAACTTTTTAATTTCTTTCTTTACCTAGATGGTCAACCACCCTAGTAAAACAACACATCTCTTTTCAGAAATTATTTTGCCTAACTGAAGTTGCACAAACTCTTGTTTCCAGCTTGTCTATTATTTCCCCCCATGCAGAAAAAAAAATTCAAGTGAAGAAATTACACGCCAAGCCTTTCTTGCTTTTATTTCAAGGGGATGCACGGAATTATTTGTTGTCCTTAATGTCCTTAATCTCTTGGGCAGCAAGACACCAATTAATCCTGGTGATAATAAACTCACAGCAGCAGGAACTCCCCTGCTTGAAAGGATTCCCCCCCCTTTCCTCTTTCTTAAAAAGAAGAAAAAAAAGAGCAGAGTGTAGAATTTTAGAATCACGGTGCTTACAAAACACTTGATAATTACCAGGTTGCCAGCGTGCTCTTACTGGGGCTTTATTACGCTAATCAAACCACCTTACTGTTACCTTGTCCTTGTCCTAATCAAATTGTCTGATTGCTACCTTGGGCTCTTTCTCTGCCTCTCTCTTTCACTGCCGTACCTGCTTTGCTAACAGGGAGCTGATGCTGTCTGCATTCGGTCTACAGAATAAAGATCGAGCCACACAAAATGTAACCACTTTTGTGTCTGTAAAGCTCAGGTGCTGTGAATTTGGGAGGAGTCATCTTAGTCAGGGGCGTAGGAAGGGGGGCTGTGGGGGCGGTTCACCCCGGGTGTCATCCCTGGGGTGTGTGTGACAAAATTCTCCCTGGGCGGATCACTGTGTCACCCCCCCGGGCACCAATCACCCCCCCGGACACCAATCGCCACGCCAATAGCCCCCAATGGGCACCAATCACTGTGCCAATCGCACCCCTGGGCACTGATTTCCGTGCTGATCAACCCCAATGGTCGCCGATTGTTGCACTGATCGCCCCCAATGGATGCTGATTGTCATGCCAATGGCCCCCCTGGGCGGCTCACCCCCCTGGGTGGAAGGCATATGCGTCGCTCCAGATGCCCGATCGGCTAGCTCTGCCACTGATCTTGGTCCGCTTTTATTTGTTTACTTCAGCCTTCCTCAACCTCGGCCCTCCAGATGTTTTGAGACTACAATTCCCATCATACCTGACCACTGGTCCTGCTACCTAGGAATCATGGGAGTTGTAGGCCAAAAACATCTGGAGAGCCAAGGTTGAGGAAGCCTGGTTTACTTCGTGAAATTTAGGCACCCGTTGATTGTAAGAAACCTCAAAGCGGTCAGTGAGCATACATTGGTGAAAATTCCACATACTGGTCATGGATGATTCCCATTACATCTTCTTGAAGGGTTATTGGTTCCTGATTTGGAGTTATTGGTTCCTGATTTCTTTGGAGTTCCAGTATTTGGGCCCTGAGCTTTTGCTTCTCTACTTCCCACCACCCTCTGCTTTTTTGCTTGCCTTCCTCCTTCCCGTTCTCTTCCTGCCTTCCTGCCTGCCGCCTCCAGCAGCTCGGGAGCGCGGGGCTGTCAAAATGAAGGGGGAAAGGGGGAAGGCCACCATCTCCATGCCATGAACCTTGAACCAGGGTGGACAGCCTAGAAGTCATATTCACCACCCCGTCACACACAGACCATAGAGAAAGAGGACTAAGTTTTTTGCATCTCTACTTCTGGATTTAGTTCTGAAGATATATTCAAATTTTCATGTTACAAAACAGAACAATAAAAATACACGCAGGCTGTAATAATCAATGAAGGGCAAAAAGCCTTCTTTATAAAAATGCCTGTTATAGGTAGACAGTGACTAATGTATACTTGTCTTTTCACGCAATGATACCTTTCCAATCAGACAGATGAGTCACCCGAGTGCACTTTTCTGCATAACCTTTGTTTATGTAAGACAAAAAGAGAACCAAGTTTCTATATATAAACTGCATTCAATTACACCTCTAATTTCTCTTCTGTGTTGTGCTAAAACCATCCATCTAATGGGCACCCCTTTCCTTTCCCATCCCAACAACTTGATTATTTCCATTCTGCCAGCAATGAAAAGTGACAGAACCAAGGTCTTTGTGTAGGATTTGCTTGCTGATATCATCTCCAATGGAGAGAAGACGCAGTAGGGGGTGAGGCTGAGCCAGCTGTGAGATTCTTCCTGTACATTTAGTGTTTAATCTTACAAATAGTTAACCTGCCCTGACAGTCTGTGGGTGGTATTCAACCAAGTTTTATTCAGGGTGGACGCATTGAAATGAATACACCCGACTTAGTCATGTTCATTAATTTCAGTGTGTCTGCTCTAAGTAAATCTGAGCTGAATACTATCCTTTTGAGATACAGCAGCTTAAAAATGAAAATAAATTGGGAGTTTTAAATGACAAGTCAATGCAAATTCGGCATCAGGAGGAGGGAGTCCAAGTTCAGACTTCCTGAGAAATTCTGGCTTTGAGACAAATACTGTTCAAAGCTGGCCCCTGTACAGGTGGGAAGTCTGGTCGCATCCGAAATGGTTATTGTTACTGTCCATAGTTTAGGATAAGCTTCCTTCAAAGTCAAGGGCTCACCTGGGATAGAGGCATAAAAATAACAAAAGGTGTTGATGACCCGTCCATGAGGAATCTTGGGTCTGGGCAGCCAGAGGCTTCCATGGTGATTGTTTGAGGTGACTGGAAAAGAGAGTCTTTAGACAAAGGTGTGCTGGGAAGTAGAAGGATGGAAGAAAGAAAGATCCATCTTGGGCAGGCTGGCTGAAGTCTGGCAGGGAGAGATGCCTTAGACGCCAGTGCTGTACTGATGTGGAATACAAGCCCTCTTTGAAATGACCATGCTCCACGACCTGGACTCCTTCCATGCAGACTGAAGGTGTTAATATGTGAATAAACCATATTTCTTAAAGCTACCGCTCAGCAGAGATTGGGGGCAGTACC